GACGCCGACGACCACCTGGTCGGCCAGGGCGACTGGATCGTGTCCGACACTAAGAATGTTTCGCTGGCTGACGGCTCGACGTTGCCGAGCAAGACCATCAAGACGCTGAAGGTGCGTCCGCTGAGCGACCTGAAGCTGCTGCGCAACCCTAAGACTTTGGAGGTAGTCTCGACTGTGAAGTTGAACGGAAGATCGAAGGCGCTGAAGTCCAAGGGCAAGTCGTTCGAGATGGTTGCCCAGGTAGCAAACTTCGAGCGCGGCACCCAAGTGGGCTTCACTGTGCGTCACAGCAAAACCAGCGGTGAGGCTACGACAATTGTGTACGACGACAAGAAGAAGATGGTGATCATCGACCGCACCAAAAGTTCGAACGCTAAGTGCGATGTGTTCATGGACAACGATGTGACTCCTGTTGATGACCCGGTGTGGGGCCACTTCTACCTTTACGATGTCTTCGAGTCTCTTGCTGACCAGGACACTGCTTCGGACTCGGATGCTTCCTCAGTCACTGGATCCGATGAGGACGTTGATGATGACTCGGATTCGTTGGCGGATTCGGACTCGGAAGCGGACGATTCGGAGGCGGATGAGGGCACGTACAAGGTTACACGCGAGAATCTCAACTTCCGCCTCTTTGTGGATGTGTCTACTGTCGAGGTATTCGTGAACAACCGCTTCGCTCTGTCTGCTCGTATCTACCCGTGCGGTGAGGACTCGGATGGCATCTCGCTGACGGCATCGGGTAAGACCACATTCGAGAAGGTGCAAGTGTGGACCGACCCCAAGCACGCGTGGCCGGCTAAACGCACGGTGCCTACTAAGCAGCTCCACAAGAAGACGAGGAACATTGCGAACACAGCTTAGGGCGAGTAAACGAGGTACGACACATAAGCTTAGTGCAACAAGCATCATGCGAACAAAAGCACACGATCACGACAAATAAACGTTGCGCTACAGTCGCTGAGCTGGCAATATCGTAAGAGTTTTGCTTCAAAACATTGATCAATGTTATTATTTTTCAGTAGCGTACTTCGAAGGGTACTAATGCATTTCGCTATAATCGGAAACAGATCTTTCGCTGCGAACGTAGAGGTCGCATTCGTGCTGGGTTTGTGTGCCACGTTCGTTACGAAACGTCATTAATTCGCCATAAATGATAGTAGGTATGCATCGAAAGCGGAGAACAACACTCAAGTAGAAGTTTGCTTGAGTTGGCTTAAACTGTTCTGCGTAAGTATCCCAAAAATGGTGCTCGACATCCATGTTTCTCGTGAAAATAATATAGTATGAGATTCAATAGAGAGTTTACAGCAATTAAAATTAATTCTGCAGTCCAGCGGTTAGCAAAATAACTTTTATTTCTTAAGTAATTTAGCTACTGCAACTACGGACTATTATTATTGTCACACACATACATGTAAATATTCAAACAAATAAATAATAAACATTTAAAATGTTTCCAGGAAAATCTAAAGCTTTATTTTCCGACATGCAAGATATTGTATTTTCCGACCTGGGGAGCGTGCAGGAGCGGATAGGTATCTGCTCAACATGGTATCCAATACAAAATTGCAATCTGGCATTCACACACTGTCCCCGGAAAAATGCAAGTCACAAGTTACAATACAAATTTTGTAGCCTTCACATGCATATTTAGTTGAGGACAGTTCTTCTTCGAAATGATTTCCAATCCGAGGTCAGTGCAGGGGCCCGGGTTACATGTAGCCCTGGATGTTCCATTGTGGGGACTCACTGCCGAAGTGTTTTATTTTTTTATTTTTTATTATTGGAAAATGGTTGTCACTTAACTGATGCGTGTGTACATCATAACCTGAGTAAGCTCTCGATGGGATGACATGGCTGCCGAGTCGTTCTGAATTTCTGTCAGCAATTTGCTGGGAAGCCTCTTGCTACGTTACATCAACACTGTCGACATACAAACAGCATAAATATGACCAGGCCAGGATGGTGTCTCTCGGCGTCGCGTTCATCTACCGCAAAAATTTAAGCTC